TGATCCTCGCTTCCTCTCACAATTCTGGAAACACCTCTTCACGGCCTACGGAACCACGCTCAAGTATAGCACTGCATTCCACCCACAGACCGATAGACAAACAAAGAAGATGAAAGATACACTCCAAAGAATCCTGCGAAAGTATTGTCATCCACACCAACACGATTGGGATCAGTTGCTCACAGCCGCCTAGATTGCCTACAACAATGCCGTTTGCCCTTCCACTGGCATGTCCCCATTCTACCTCGACCTTGGCTACCACCCTCGCTTGCCCTCTGACTTCTTGCTAGCTTCACAGCTTAACCCATCCACCCTCTGCCCCTCTCTCAATGAATGAGTAGCAACAATGAACAGACTCCTGAGAGAAGCCTCTGAAGTCATTGAACGAACCCAAGAACAACAAGCCAACAAGACTAACAACCATTGACGAGACGTGTCATTCAAAGTAGGGGACAAAGTCTGGCTCTCCGCCAAATGCTTTGAACCCGAACACGGCTTGTCCAAGAAACTCCCCAACAAATGGCTCGGTCCCTTCCCCATGATTGAACAAACCTCCCACTTCGCCCTGACATGAGTCGTGTCCACCCAGTCTTCCATGTCGAGTACCTAAAAGAATACCATGAATCCCCGCCCAGTTCGCCGACCGCCCATATCCTAGACCTCCACCAATCATGCTACCCACAGGCCCTGAATTCGTTGTCGAAACCATCATCGGCCGACAAACCACTCAGGTATCTGATCAATCGGAATCAATCACTAAATACAAAGTCAAATGGACCGGATACCCCGACGAAGAATCTACATGGGAACCTCTCTCTAATCTTAAGAACGCCATGAAACTTGTTCGCGCCTATGATCGTGCTCATCCTATGTCCTAGATACCTACATAACTATGGCATAAACCCTTCTACAACCTCGCAACCCCGCTCTACACACACCCTTGAACCCAGTCCACCCTCCCCTTGACCTTCATTCTTGATGTCTGATCTTCCCTTGCCCTCGCCTAGCCTTGTCCCATCTGTCCTCTCCACTACCTTGTCTATCTTGTCCAATGCTTGTGAACCTGCGTGACGCCGGCGATAAAGGATCTAATGGCAAGCGCACGAGGACGATGGCCTGCTGCCTCACTGTCCATGGCGATTATGCAGCTGGTTTGGCCACCATGCTGTTTCATCGGCCGGCATCCCGACTCGCGGACTTACTGGAGCAGCAACTTGTGACATGGATCTTTGCATCAGTCTGCGACTTCCTTGCTTCCAGATCAGACCTCATTGCAGTTCGTGTACCGGACGCACCCTAGCACTTGGACTTTGACCCTCGAACTACTACTACTCTTCTTGGACTTCTACCTATTGCAGCTGCTGAAGACCGCTTCTACCACCTACTCCAAAAACCTGATCAAGACCGCTGCAGACCCCCTTTCAAGACACTTGGACACTTTATTCCTACATGAGATTCTGCTTCCGACTCCTTCGGACACACCAGCCCTTGCATCCTGAACAAACATTTTCATTTTTATTTTTCCTGACTTTGACAACCCTGTAGAACATCATTAGCAGATCCCCTGTTCCCCTGACCATTGTTTCCCTTACCCGCTACAACATCAATAGAAATACCCTGTTTTCCTGAACACCGTTTCCCTTACCCAGTAGAACACCAATAGAAGTTCCCTGTTCCCTGAACTCTGTTCCCCCTTAACCTATAGCAAACCATGCAGTCCCCTTAGTTCATCAGTAGGACTACCCTGCTCCCTGTCGTCCCTTTAGTTCATTTGTAGGACTACCCTGTTCCCTGCAACCCCCCCAGTTCGTCAGTAGGACAACTCTGTTCACCGGTACCAAACCCTGTTCCCTCTTACTCCCGCAGCCCATGCCACCCACATTATACCCCTCTTCCCTTTCGACTTGTTAACCAGTGATCGGCCCCGTCCCGTCCTTCACAGATTTCAGCATTGCTTCATGATTTTTGGCAGCCGGTACGTTGCCTTCTAGAGGGAGGGGATAGTGTTACGGACTCCGCCAGGGCTCGATCCCTGGTCTATCTTTTTGCTGTTTCGGCTGCATCCCGTTTTCCCCCTGGCACCCTTTTTCCAAACCCCTCCTTTGGTACCGTAGGATTTTGGACAACTGGCGCCATGCTGCAATTCGGGTGCCACTTTCAAATACCGCATTTTTCAGTTCTGCCCTCGGGGCCTTTGCAGAAATGCCCCTGGTACCGTCCGTGTCACCGGTACTTATACCGGCTCCCTGTACGGTACGGGGACCAGTCTCGTACCAGTTTCCAGCTGCTGTACTCGTAGTCCGTGTGACTTGCTGTTTCGGCATTCGGGAATCCAAGACTTCGACTTTGTGCCCTTGCCACTGTGTCTGCGTCCGACCCTCAGTCGTGTGACTTGCTGTTTCGGCATTCGGGAATCCAAGACTTCGACTTTGTGCCCTTGCCACTGTGTCTGCGTCCGACCCTCAGTCGTGTCGAGTGAGTGAGTGTGTGTGTG